TCTGCCACTGTGAAAAAAGATTTTTTAATTTATTTTATATTTTATGGTTTAGCAGTGTTTTTACATCACAAGTACTGTACCGTATGCCGCTTCGCGGACGTGTAACGAACACAATCGTCCTCCACCACTATGAGAACTGCACTGATTACTGCGCATCGCAGTTCACGCAGGCCACACCTCCCACTGCTTACCATCCGTCACCAGCCGCCATCGTGCCAGTGTGCTACTGACACGTAGGCTAGTCGGCTAATCTATTACGTTGCTAGTGAACAGTGAACTTCATTAATTATAAAAATAAAAATAAAAATAAAAATAAAAACGTTTATTGCCTTAACTAATATGTACATTTCAAAAACTTAAAGAATTTTTGCCTTCTTTCTTCTCAGCGTACCGCCGTTGCACCGCTAGCTTCTTGTTTCTTCATCCTCTCGGTTCCTGGATCTTCCTGGGTGGTGTCCTCGTCTGCTTCTGTAGGTACTGGTATCGGCAAACGTACCTACTTCCCTGCATCCCTGGAATCAGACCCTGATCAGATGGTCGATCAGCCTATGGGTGGATCTAAACATCCTCTGGACCCTGTTCTTCTCGAGGATGTCCCTGGTCTGACGTGTTCTTCTAGTGGCCTGGTTGAAGAACCACCTGGTTCTATTCTCAGCCACTTCCCTCAGTGGCGTGTATCCTAGTCTGTTCCTTATTGTCTCGTTTGTAACTCTATCCTCCCATGCTGCTCCGTCGATGATTCGGTAGCATGACGTTTCTGTAGATTCTAACTTTTTCCAGTGTGACTCCGCAATGGAGCTCCATACTGGAATAGCATACAGAATCACCGACCTAACATATGCTTGGTAGAGTTGCATCTTCTTTGCCTTCGATAATGGACTGGACCTAAAAATGAAAGGCAGAATTAGTTTTTTAGCTGCATTAGCTTTTACCTTTGTTTTTTGTGTATGCACCCGGAAGTTGAGTCTTCTGTCGAGGTGGACTCCTAAGTATTTCACCGTCTCTGATTCCTGGATTCTGTTGCCTCCTACTGTGATCTCGTTCCGTGGTGGTTGTTTTTCCTGGGTGAATACGATGAACTGCGTCTTTTCTGCGTTGATCTTGATTTTCCACTTCTCTGTGTAGTTCGTGATTTTTTCCAAGTGGTATTCCATGTCATCTATGATACGTCTTTCATCTTTTCCGGATGCATACACTGCTGTGTCGTCTGCATACAGGGCTGTTGAGGTCCTGGGATCTGTTGGAAGGTCTGAAACAAAAATGTTATACAATATTGGAGATAAAATACTGCCCTGAGGCATTCCTTCCTGGATTTCTTGGATCATCGACATCTTTTGGTCCGCTGAGACTTGAAATGTTCTATTAGATAGATACATATCGCAGATGTTGATGAGGTAGTGTGGAAGTCTAGCCTTGTCCATCTTGAAGATTAGTGCCTTCTTCCAAACCGTGTCGTATGCTTTTTCTATATCCAGTATGGCTAATCCTGTCTTCTGTTTCCTGTTGAATTTTATCTTCGTGTCGCTGATTATCCTTGCTAGTTGAAGTTCGCAGTTTCTTCCTTTTCTGAATCCGAACTGGTCTTCTTGGATGATTCTTCTTCTTTCCGAGTGTTTCACCAGTCTCTTGTAGATGATCTTCTCCAATATTTTTCCCATCGACTCCAGGAGAGATATTGGTCTGTAGCTTTCTGGTCTTCTTCCATCCTTCCTAGGCTTCAGAAGAGGTATGATTTTGGCGTGTTTCCAGTTGTTCGGAAAGTATCCTTTTTCCAAGCAGTATTTGAAGATATAGTACAGCTGTACTATGATCTTCTTTGGAAGTTCCTTGAGGGTGATGTTATGGATTCCTTCGTGTCCTGGTGCTCTGCTTCCTTTCAGCTTCTTGATGATTTTGGCAACTTCTGCTGGGCTGGTATGGTCTTCATCATCTATTTGGAACTCGTTCCTTCTTTTGATCCTGTTGTATTCCTGTTCGACTTGCCTCCTTGTTCTTGCATCCGACATGTTCTGGTTTTGTCTGTGTGTGGCTGCCATCTTTCTTGATATTGCATCAACTTTTCCTTGGGTGTCGTAGTATGTTCCCTCGTTGTCCATGATTTGTGGCATCTTTTGTTTACCTCTTCTTCTTGCCTTCAGCATTTTCCATACGTTTCCATGATTTTCTTCAGCTCTTCTGATGTTGTTGTGCCACTGGTTTTCAGTAAGACTTCTCAGTCTTACTCTTATTTCTTCGGATAGGATGTCTCCGTATTCCTTGAATTCCTGTCTTCTTGTCCTTTGGAATGCTCTTCTGGCCTTGTTTCTGTCCTTGATCATGTCCTGTAGTTCTCTTGGAATGACCAGTCCTCTGTTGTTCGTCATGGATTTTGGAATGTTGGCTTCCATGGCACGTTGAATTCTTCTTGTGATTTCTTCTATTTTTTCTTCTATTTCCTCTGCTGATTGGAACTCCCTCTTCATTTCCATTTGGTTGAGCTGTCTTCTGTAGTTTGGCCAGTTAGCGTCTTTCCATCTCCATCTTTCCACTGGTTCTATTCTTGGCAAGTCGACTCTTGATGTCATCCTTCCCATAACTGGTTTGTGGTCCGAACTGCATTCGAAGTAGGCTCTGACGTCTTCCATAATTACATCTTTGGTGACGAAAAGGTCCAGTGTTGAGTTGTTGTGTCTTCCTATAGGGCTGATCCTTGTTGGTTCGTCTGGAGCGAATAACATCATATTTCTGTCTTCGCAGTATCTTAGGAGTGTTGTTCCTGGAGCGGTATCCGTCATACATCCCCATGCTGTGTGTTTGGCGTTGAAATCTCCTGCTACGACCACGGTTGGAGCTGAGTTGAGAAGGGCATCTAATTCTTCTAAGGCTAGGTCTTCTGAATGTTTCCTGTAAATTGAAAAGATATTAGTTATACCTACTTTGATACCTATACTTTCAAAATGGCGTGTTTCCATCAAAACTTGGTTCCATTCTATGTTGTTCTTGACATAGATGGCTACTCCTCTGTCGTTTGGTTCGTCTCTTCTTCCAAATCCATCGTAGTTGGTAATCCTTGGAAGTTGGGTGTTCGTCATGTATCTTGTTTCAGACAGGCATATGACATCTGGGTTATGTCTTATGACTGCCTCCCGAAGTTCGCTGATTCTTAGCCGTAGTGAAGCTATGTTGAACTGTAGAATCTTGAGATGCCTAAGGTTCATTGTAGATTTCTTCATATTTCATGAAAACCATTGCTTTTTCTGCAAAAGTTTTTGCCTGAATTAGATCCCTTTTCATATCCTGGAGTATTGCTACCATCTTCTCGACGTTGACTATTTGGTTAATCTCCGCCCATGTGCTTTTGATGGTTGGTTGCTGCTGCTGCTGTCCTTTGCTGGCCTGTGCGTATGATAGTCCACTTGTGGTCGTCCTAAATGTTGATGGGTGTGGTGGTGCTGGTGTAGTCTTCTGTTGAGGCTGGTTTCTGGCCCTCCTTGCTGCTTGTTTGTCCAAATATTCGATGTGTTTGCTACACATCGGGTAGTTTGAAGTATGTGCCTCCAGGCAGTTACAACACTTCACTTTATTCAATTGTCCTTTTGGTAAAGGACAATGTCTCGTTTGGTGATTGTTGGCGCATTTCATGCACCTTGGAGCCTTGAAGCAGTTCCTAGCTGAGTGTCCGAACTCCTGGCAGTTGAAGCACTGAGTAGCACGTGCTGGTTTTGAGTAGGCATCCCACCTAACTCTGATGTTTTGGACTCCATTAATTTTCTTAACTTCTTTGAGGTCTTGAGCCTTGTCCACTTGTAGGAGGTATGAGCTGCTTGTAGCTCCTGGTTTTCTTGTTTTTAGTTCCGTCACCTTACCAACGATACCTTGCTCTCGTAGTTCTGCCTCGACTTCATCCAGGTCCATTCCAGGGGCAGCCTTCATCACTAATTTCTTAGTGACCTCTGATTTTTTCGTGTATGTGTGGAATTCAACCGATGTTGAGATGAAGTCCTGCTTCAATTTTTCGTAGTCTTCTGTAGTCTTCAGGTATACTCTTGTTCCTATTTTTCCTGCAGGTGAGATCTGGAAGTTTTTATGCCCTAATAATTCTGTCATTTCTTTTATTAGGGTGGAGTAACTTGTTATTTTTCCAGAAATAACCAGTGGGGGTACTCGTTCCTTCTTTGTTGTCGTAGTGGTGGTTGTTTCTTCGGTGTTTATTGTTGTTAAAATCTGGTAGCGATTTTTCGTAGTAACTGTTCCTGTACTGCTACTTGCAGTTGGACGTTGTCTGGCTCCGGATATTCCCTCATTTGAGTTTCTTCTTGGACATTTTACCTGCTGGAAAGGTTCTTCTTCCATTATCTCTATGTGGTTTGATGCCATCTCATCCGTGACTTCTTTTATTTGGTTTATTGAATCTTCGGAATCGTTCCTCTGTAACTGTTCCTTGTCCTGGGTGGGTCCACCTCTCCTTGAGGTGGGCCTGAATTTTCTTGATCTAAAGAGATTCCTATGTATTGGATATTCCTTCCTTATCGGAATTGTACCTGAAATAATTTTAGTTAGTTTGTTTGTAAATACAGTTTTATCTTCTGTATTAGTCTTAAAAAAGACTAAATCAGAGATATCCTGATTTTTCGTTATACAATTAAATTCAGTCAACGTCAACCGTTCAGTTGACCGCCGACTGGATTGGGTTGGGTAAAGTGTTTGCTGTCAGTCACTCGGACCAGAGCAAAGGAGCGGAAAATAGACTGTGATTCTCTATGCGACTGTTCGGTAGCGAGTCTCACCGTCTACTGCTTCATTAATTCTTTGTCTTGATTCCTCTTATACAATAATGAGTGTAAAACCAGTAAAACGGAAAATTGATAGTGAGAACAGAATTTACAAAGAAAGTTGGGAGAGTGATTACTTGATTGCTAACAATATTGGAAAGTTGCAGTGCTTACAGTGTCGCTTGAGCTGGCAAAGGCAAAAAAACGTTTCACTGATGGCAATTTGATAAAAAAAAATGTGCTGTTAAAATGGCCAAAGCTTTCGATGATTTTAAAATGGCGGAGAAATTTGAATCAATGCCACTTTTACATCAAACCATACAAAGAAGGATTGTTGCTATGGGTGAGCAAGTAGAAAAATCTATGCTTAGCCTGGTTAAGAAAAGTTCATATTTCTTATTTTGTTTGGATAAAAGCACTAATCAAACCAATGTTAGTCAGCTGTTAATATTTGTGCGCACTACTTTTGATAATTTTACCAGTAAAGAAGAGTTATTTGTCCTCTTTATGGAACAAAAAAAGGAAAAGACATCTTTGAGGCTGCGTAGAAAACAGTTGGCAGAATTAGAGGCTTTGATAAATGTTCAGCCATAGCAACGGACTGGGCCCCATCAATGACAGGTAAAAAAATTGGATTAGTGGGTCTGCTTCGAGAGAATGGTGTCACTTGCCCAACAATTCATTGTATTATACATCAGGGAGCTTTATGTGGAAAACAGTCAAGGAAGATTAAGTTTTCCAAACCCTGATTAAGATTATAAATATGATTAGAGGTGGAACTCGATCTCTTTTACATAGGCAACTTGAGCAGTTTTTAGTGAAAACAGTGGCTGAGTATGGAGACTTGCTAATGTACAACCATGTAAAGTGGCTGAGTGCACAATAGTGCATGGAACGATTTTTTGCCATAAGAAAGACAATCCCTGCATTCCTCAACAAATATGTTTCATCTGACACAACTGAACTGGAAGAGAAGTTTAAGGATCCAGAATTCTTAAGACAGTTAGCTTTTATAACAGATCTATCTAATCATCTTAACATGTTAAACTTGAGTCTTCAAGGAAGAAACCGGACGGTTTCAGATTTGATCGGAATGATAAACGGATTCTGCAATAAGCTGAACGTGTTTAAACGTGCTTTGGAAAAGAACAACCTGACACACTTCCCTAGCTGTCTGCAAATAGCAGAAGAATTCAACGGTGAGGAAAATATTGAGTTTTCATCCTGCATTTCACAAATTGAACAAGTTATTGATGAATTCAATACAAGATTTGAAGAAATTGAAAGTCTCAAAAGCAGTACACTACTTTATAATAACTCTCTTGAAGCAACCATTGATGATCAAACACCCAACTTACAGCTTGAGTTATGTGATCTTCAAGCAGACATGTTCCTAATCACCAGACACGAAAAGGGACCTGAGTTTTTCGAAAAAAAAAAAATTCCCAAACCTGCGAGATTATGGACTGAAAATGACGGCAATGTTCGGAAGCACATATACATGTGAAAGTGCCTTTTCCTCCATGAAATACATAAAAAATAAAAACAGAAGCAACCTTACCGATTCTTCCTTACGTCATCTTATGAGAGTGTCTACAACTGAACTGGAAGTGGACATTTCTTCATTGGGGGATGAAGCCGATCGACAACAGTACTCACACTAATTGGATACATCTTTTTATTGCTTTTGCAATGTTTGTCTTGATTATTGAAAAGTATTATCAATAAATTTTCCGTTTATAAAAAAATGTAGTTGTTGAGCAATAAAAGAAATAATACTCTTTTTTGTTTTAATTATTTTTATACCTCACTTTATTTTGTTATTACTTGTAACAAAATTATTCTATGGCCCGCGATAACATCAAAGGTTTTAGTTTTGGCCCTTGAGGCATTGCAAGTTGGACACCCCTGATTAAACATAATATACTCAGTACTAGATTTCAACTTCTAAACAATACTAGATATGCATATGATACCATATTGCTGGCAGGAAGTGTACAGTGGCTAGAAAAGAAGACAAAAGTAATGATTATTGGTGAGAAATATTAATCTATATACCAAATTTGGAATAAACGATACACCGTTAGAAAGAGTGTAGAAAATATGCTATCTAAACTGTAAGATTGAGGATGCCTGGAGTCATATTCATCTCGTATTAATCGTTTTCAATCAAAAGCCAAAATGTCCTTTAACCGTTTTAAAAACAATGTTTACAACTTATCTTTAAGTATCAATATATTCATAAGTATTTATAAATGTTATGTATTTTGCGAAGTAGAAAGTTTTGCGTTGTCCTTTACTACAAACTAGAAAGCTGGATTCTTGCAGAAGATGTAATAAAATAGTTATCATCATCATCATCAATCAGCCCTGAGTTGTCCACTGTTGAACATAGGCCTTCTCTAGACTTTTCCATCTGCTTCTATTCTGCGCCTCTGCTATCCAATTGGTCACGATTCTTTTGAGGTCGTTGGTCTATCGCGTTGGGGGTCTTCCTCGGCTTCGCTTGTCAGCCCGTGGTCTCCACTTAAGCAATTTTTTTGTCCAACTTTCGTCTTTCATTCTTGCAACATGTCCTGCCCATCTCCATTTTTGCCATGTAATATGTTCGATAATGCATTCCACTCCGTTTCGTCTACGAACTTCCTCGTTTCTTGTTCTATTTCTTAAGCTTATTCCAAGCATTGATCTCTCCATCTTTCGTTGTGTACTTCTCAATTTTTCGGCTGATGTTTTTGTGAGAGTTAAAAGCTTTTCTTTTTAAATGGATCGGTATATATGTTTTAAATACGTCTCTCATTTTTCTGAATGCAGCCCAACCCAGATTTATTCTTCTGAGTAGCTCGCATTTTTGGTTATCTCGCGTTAACCTTATTTCGTGACCCAAATACACATATTTTTCCACAAGTTCTATGGGCGACTTTTTGATTTCTATTAGTTTATTGGGGACGAGATTGGTCATCATTTTTGTTTTTCCATAGTTTATTTTTAAACCGACTTTCTGGGTTACTTGCTGTAATTGTTGTAGCATAACTCTGGCTTTTCCTAAGTTGTCTGTTTTGAGATCAATAGCATCGGCATATCTGAGATGATTGAATATCTTTCCATCGATGCTAATACCCTTTGATTCCCTCTCCAGCCATTTAAATGCGTACTCCATAACTGTTATAAATAGTTTTGGCGACAAGGTATCTCCCTGCTGCACCCTCTGCCAATATTTATCTTCTCAGTCATGCAATGGAGGTTAACCGTTGTGTCGCATTTTCGTATATATTTCGAATAATATTTGCATACCTCTGATCTATTCTGCATTCTGATAGTAGTTTTAAGATAGCAACTGTTTCGACTGTGTCAAATGCTTTATGGAAGTCGACAAAGATAAGAGCAAGGGGACTGTTATATTCGATAGACTTTTCAACTAGAGTTTTAAGGCAATGCAAATGGTCGTTTGGTCCGTGTCCCGCTCGAAATCCTGCCTGTTCTTCTGATTGATAGAAATCGAGTTTTGCTTCTAATTTGTTTGTCAGTATTCGAATAAAGAGCTTGTATAGGTGGTTAAGCCTAATTGGCTCATAGTTAGAGGTATTAGACAATAAAATAGTTAGAGGCATTTAAAATGTGATGCTACCAACGTGTGTTATAGGTCTCATATATACACCTCACAAGTAACATAACTATTCTCCAAAGAATAAGAAAAGACAAAGAAATTATTAACACTGGTTGGTAAATCCAGTAATATCACTAGAAAATAGGTACCCCTAGAAGAAGAATGTAATAAGAAATAAAATTGAAATACTGATCTACAATAGATAGGATTTGATATCTCTTAATTAAGTTAAATAATAAATAAATAATGTACCGACGCCACTGACTCTTCATTGGATGACATATCATTTTTGTTTTTTGTGTTTTATGGGATGGGTGATGACTTCTTCCATCGATCGTTATTAATGAGCATATCTCTCTATAAAACGACTGCATCATATTTCGATTCGTTATGGTAGGATATGACAATATGAATTCTTTGTTGTTATTATCTAGGTTTTGTTAGAATGGTTGGCTCTATTGTTTTACCAGATAATTAAGGAATAATTGTTTGGTATTTTTCGAAAAAGCATACCAAGCAGAAAGTGAAAACATACTAATGGTTTTTCTTATATATCTTTGAATTTGTTATGACTTTTATATCAAATATATAATTCCATCCTTTACTGATGGTTTTATCAGAAGTTAAAATCAAATATAAAAATTTGTTTCAGTTGCTAACTTTTGAAAAATTATAAACTAATGTTCCATAATGTTAGCCGAAACTTTAATACGGAAAACTAAAAGTTTTATTGGAAACATATTTTAGCTACATAAATTAATAATTAATTATAGCCATTAAGCACCTAAATCTTAGTAATCAAATACCTTAAAAAGACAATCAACTGTTAACCGTTTGGAACGGTTTTTAAAATAAAAGAAGGTTTCAGTAGTTTTTAAATTTTATTTCGAACTGAGATTTTTCTTTGAAATAGAGTATTTTTATGTAAAAAAATAAAATATTATTTCTAATGGCAAATATGCTTATGAATACAGAAAAATTCACCATATTCTAAAGGTCTCAAAGTACACACCGAGGTTGGTACTTTGAAACATAAGTATGTGTATTTTGAAACGCTTATTTATTGGACGTTAAATGCAGATAAATCGATAGAAAATGTCATCACAGCATTTCTTCTGGCAGTGCCCCCCCTACTGAAGGGTCTCCTAGTCTCATTACCATATCTTCGTCAGGCAAGTCATAGACAGTGTAATTTTCGAAAAGAAATTTGGCCGCAAAGTTACTTCTTTTTAGGTATCTAACTTTAAACCCATCATCATTCAATCCAACGACATTAGCAACAAAATATCGTTTTGTCGTTTTTGTTGCAATTTGTGCTAAAATTAAAATCTCCCACGCAGGGCTTGTTGCCAGACTCAAGAAAATTTTTATCCTCCTCTTCTGCATTGGCAAAATCCACGTCATCTAGTGAGTCATCGCACGTTATTTCGCTTTCTTTTATTACATCTTCATCAGAACTACTATCAAGAATCTTTTTGGTTGCTTTTTGTTTTTTTTTTTAAACAAAATTCTTCGTGGTTTTAAGGAGCGCCACCATTTCAATCTTGTTCTCTTGGGTATCTGTAACTATTCTACAGCGCCCTAGTTTCTTACCTACTTTCTTCGTAAATTTCCTCGCAGCTGCCTTGAGAAATGGGCGAATTTGTTCGGGGCTTTTATGTTAATTTAATTCATTGGATACTAAGGAAGAACTAGAATCATTAAACATACTAGTTGTTCCTAAAGGTATTCCCAGACCCTCTACAGAAATATTCAAGGAACTATTAGTTTCGGAGGTATTTTGATTATTTCTTGACTCTTCGGCAACTAGTGGTCTGTCCGTAACATATGAATCAAGAAATTCGTGCTCCTCGAAAATCTTTCTGTTGAATGGAAAAATTCCAGAAACGGTAAAACCAGACTGAGTATTTTTCTATGTAAATGCCTGTGGATATACATTCCCAACACACTAAGCAATATCATAGATTGTTATCGTTTTTGTAGGATT